CAGGAGATTAACATCAATACCATGTTTTTAGCTAATCTACAGACCTTCTGATTTAGATTATTAGGATTCCTGACATGATCACACTTGTGTTAGTTGAAGACCATGCTGAGGCATCTAGTCTTTATCTAAAGAACAATAGGGAACCATGGAAGGTAGTTGAGGTGTCTGAGCAAGGCAGTGATGTGCACTATTAACACGTCACTCTGGCTCTTTTCCGAGGAACAAATCAGAGGGCAGAGTGTGAGGGTAGGAAAACCGGGATTAGGAGACAGTCGCATTTGTCCAAGTGAGAAGTGGTGGCCTTCAAGTCCTCACATTATCAGGCCCCTTTTCTCCTCTGACCTCACCTCCACCACACTGGCTTCACTGCCACCGAACACACCAGGCTCCATCCTACCTCAGGGCCTTCTCTGTTCCCTCAGCCTGGCAAGTTCTACTTCCAGACATCTGTGCAGCTCACACCTGTACTCCACGTCTTTGCTCAAATGTCACCTTCCAAAGGCCCTCCTAAACACCCTGTTTAAAACTGCACCTGCTAGGGCTGGCCCGTGGCTCACTTTGGGAGAGCGTGGTGCTGACAACACCAAGTCAAGGGTTAAGATGCCCTCACCAGTCATTTTTAAAATAAATAAATAAATAAAACTGCATCTGCCCCAATACTCCCATCCCCCCTCCTCCGCTCGACTTATTGTTTCACATTCTAATCTAATCTAATCACATTCTAGCGTATTCCACAAGACCCTCATCTATTTATTTAGTTTTTGGCAGCTGGCTGGTACAGGGATCTGAACCAGTGACCTTGTTGTTATAAGGCTGTGCTCTAACCACTTGAGCTAACCAGCCAGCCCCTTACCTATTTGTTTATTGCTGCCTCCCCCACCAGAACATCAGCTCCAGGAGAGCAGAAAGGTCTCCCTGTCTGGTTTTCTGCATATCCCTCGCATTTACCACAGTACCCGCTCATAGTACGTGCTCAATAAATGTTTGTTGAATGAATGAATGAGGTGGAGAGAATTGTATAGATTCAAGAGATCCTTCGAAGGCACAATGGCTTGGACTTGCTGGTGGCTTGGATGGGGAACTGGCTCTGGAAGACTCCAGGTCTGGGGCTGGCCCATGTCTCACCTGGGGAGGGTGTGCTGATAACACCAAGGCCACGGGTTCAGGTCCCTATATAGGGATGGCCGGTTAGCTCACTTGGGTGAGTGTGGTGCTGACAACACCAAGTCAAGGGCTAAGATCTCCTTACCAGTCATCTTTAAAAAAAAAAAAAGACTCCAGGTCTGTAGCTTGAGAAGCTGGGTGTGAGTAAGCGCCACATCAGAGGCTGAGAACCAGGGAGAGGGGCAATTTGGGGGAGAGACAATGGGGTGAGTTTTGTACGGGAGCCACTGAGATAGACACGTCCAGGATTGGGGGGTCAGGAGCTCCAGAAGGGGCTCCCAGGGAGATTTAGGGGATGCTGGTGGGAAACCAACAAAGTAGGGGCTTCCTAGCCAGAGCTGGGAGAATCAGAAGCAGATCCCAGAACCCCAACATTTAGAGGAATAGGGGTCAGGGCAGAGTGAGGCTGGCAGACACCCAGGAGAGCCAGGCTCTTCAGATCTGTCTCTCATCGGAGGAACAAACCAAAGGGCAAGGGGCGAGGGCGGGAAAACCAGGATTAGGAGACAGTCGCATTTGTCATCCAGAGAAGTGGTGGGATTGGAGGGGAAAGGGAAGTCAGGTCAACAAGAACCCAGCCAGGCCTTGACTTCATGTAGCTAAAGGGAGGTGCTAAGTGACCGCGAGGAGGGGGGCAGGGAAAGACCCTGGCCAAGAATGTGCAGGAGGGTTGGGAAGGGGCTCAGGGAGTGGGGGACAAATATTTATTGAGTGCCAGACATGCGCCTGGTGCTGGAATGAGGCTGGCCCTCAGGCTTGCAGGGTGGGGAGGAAGTTAAGTCTCAGGGCAGGTAGGAGGATGGAGAAGAGAGAGCAGGCTGGGGCCAGGGTGGGGGCTGCTAAGGTAGGGAGAGTTTCCAGGCTGATGGGAGTGGGGAGGAGAGGATGCAGGGGGGTCCCTGAGAGGAGGCCAGAGGGTCCCACCCGCAAGGCCACGTATCATTCATGCTCATAATGTCTTAGAGTTCTCAATGCTTGCAGTGGCCAGAGATTCTTATTTGCTTATGGGTTTGGGTCTCAGGCTGCCAGGCAGCAAAGACTGGTTCTGTCGGGCGTCACGTGACACAGTGTGGGCAGCAGTCCTCAGTCTCTCCAGCTGTAAAATGGGGCTATTGGCTGTGCCTTCTTGTGTTGCTGAACCAAGAAGGGGGTCCATTGCCGCTCCAACTGACTAAACATTCTCGCACGCTGAAGTTTGCAGTGATCGAGAACAGCACTTATTTGAATGGCCAGTCAAAGGAGATCAAGGCAAGGGCCGGCCCGTGGCTCACTCGGGAGAGTGCGGTGCTGATAACACCAAGGCCTCGGGTTTGGATCCCATATAGGGATGGCCGGTTAGCTCACTGGTGAGCGTGGTGCTGACAACACCAAGTCAGGGGTTAAGATCCCATTACCGGTCATCTTTCCAAAAAAAAAAAGGAGAACAAGGCAGCTAGAGGAGCTTAAAGAATTATTAAAATCACAGGCACTTATAGAGCAAAATCATGAGTAGGGGTCCCGGGAGTTATGGGGGGTCTGACTGGTGTGGGGTGAAGTCAGCACGACTATTCCTCGCATTTTTTTTTTTTTTTTTTGGCGGCTGGTGGGTATGGGGATCTGAACTCTTGACCTTGATCCGAACCCCTGAGCTAATGGGCCAGGCCTCATGTTCTCCTTGACTCCTTCAGGTCTGTTCCAAAGCAGGCTTTCAGTTGATAGCAGTCGTGTGAAACTACTCAAGATTGTCGTGGCTGATGTCACCTTGAACCATTTACTGAGCAACAAACACTTGGTGGCCTTGAGATTTTGTTTAGCTTTAGGGAAATACATGTTCAACTAACTTTATTCTTACTTTATTGTTAACCAAGCTTTACGGTTACTCCCACGAATCCACCCTGGTAGTTAAGCAGTTTTTTTTCTTTAGCTTCTCTGCCCGCAGCCAAGGCCTGCTCTAACTGGGGGTATAGAGATAGCTTAGGGGAAATACTGGGGGTCTGCCCGGTTTCACTTGCAAAGTTGTCAGGAGGATTAAATGGTACCAGGTCCTTAGTGCATTCATTCATTCATTCAGAAGATGTGTATGGACACCTACTATGTGCCAGGCACCTTAGTGCTAGGGATGAAACAAAGTAAGAAACTTCAACCATTCCTCATGGGTTCTTCCATTCTGGTGGGAGAGACAGACAATAAACAAATCAGTAAGTTAAAAAATATATGTGTATATACACACACATGCATACGGCATGTCAGAAGGGGTGTGCACCCCAAAGAAAAGGAATTGGAAGAGGGATGGAGGCCCACCCAGGGTGGGCAGTTTGCAGTTTTAAATCGGATGGTCAGGGAGGAAGGCCTCACTGAGGAGGTGACATTTGAACAGGGTTTGAAGAAGTCAAAGGAGTGCATTTACTCAAGACCTTCCCAGTTTACTGTTGAAACTGTAGAGTGAAAGTCCCATGTCCCCAGGAACACTTCAGTCCTGGGCAAATTGGCATGACTGGTCAACCTGGGAATTAGTCACTTGGCTCTCTCAGGAAAAGCACTCCAGGCAGAGGCAACAGCAAGTGTCAAGGCCCTGAGGTTGGAGCATGCAGTGTGCTTTTGAAGGTATAGCACTGAGAAAGAGGCCGGGGCTGTTCTTGAGGGAGTGGAGAAGGTCCGAGAGAGCTAGTGGGGTGAACTGGAGAGGAGGTTCATTTACGCTCCTACTCTGAGAGCTTCCTGGGGTTGCTGGCTCAGGCTCATTTACCTTTAGTGGTAGCAACAGGCCTTGACTGGCAGCTCAGCTGCCCAAGGCAAGCAAGAGGAAGGATAGGACTTTAGCTTATCCAAGGTCATGTGTAGTGAGAGAACACACACAGAAAGAGAGAGAGGAGGGAGAGAGAGAGAGAGGGAGAGGGAGAGGGAGGGTTGGCTTAGGGATCTCCAGGTAGCCAGGGAGCTGCAGGGGAGAAGTTGGTGGAAAATGAGGCACATTTCACAAACCCTAACCTGAACCCAAACCGTAACCCTAACCCTAACCCTAAACCGACCCCTACCCCTACCCCTACCCCTAACCCGAACCCAAATCCTAACCCGAACCCTAACCCAAACCCGAACCCTAACCCTAACCTGAACCCTAACCCTAACCTGAACCCTAACCCGAACCCTAACCCTAACCCTAACCTGAACCCTAACCCTAACTCGAACCCTAACCCGAACTCTAAGAGCTTCCTTTAAAACTCAGAGAAACTGTCTTCCCCTCCATGGATAAAAGAACTTCCATTTCTGCAAAATATGCAGGCTTTTGGATCTCTTTTGCATTTTCCCATCTTGATGTGGACAAAATTTGAGTAACATACAAAGACCCAGAGAGAGGTGAACAGAGACCCAGCGTGAGGGAGACAGAGACCCAGAAAGAGAGTCAGGGAGAGTCAGAGACCCAGTAGAAGAGACGGAGAGAGAAATCCCTTCCAGATAAGAATAGACTCCTTAAGTGCTGAGACCCAGAGACCCTAGGGCAAACCAGAGAAAGTGCTAGATGCTGTCTGAACAGGGCCACCGAGATCAACTAAGATCGTGCCAGGGATATGGCCATCATCCCAACTTCAGGATAACTATGGCTGCGTCTCTGTGGACTGGGGAAGATCCAGGGCTTGGATGGCTTATTCTGCCCCCGTCTTCCCACCTCCCTAGTTCGCCCTCCCCCACCTTCGGAAGAGCCGGGGGAACGTCATCAACATCTCCAGCCTGGTCGGGGCAATTGGTCAGTCCCAGGCAGTTCCCTATGTGGCCACCAAGGTATGCTAGCCCTTGCCCTTTCCTTCCCTCCCTACCTTGTTCCTCCTGGCCTCTACTTTGAGGCCAGACTCTTTAGGAGCAGGATCCAGCAAGACCTCAGCCCCAGAGAGTCCCACAGCCAACTCCCAGATTCAGCCCCGAGGCATAAAATAACCTGTGACAAATTGCTATGCTCCAAATTTCTCCTAAGAAACAGAGCCTAGGGCCGGCCTGTGGCTCACTCGGTAGAGTGCGGTGCTGAAAAAACACCAAGGCCATGGGTTTGGATCCCATATAGGGATGGCCGGTTCGCTCACTGGCTGAGCGTGGTGCTGACAACACCAAGTCAAGGGTTAGGCTCCCCTTACCGGTCATCTTTTAAAAAAGAAACAGAGCCTACCTCATAATGGCCAGCTGGAAAAAAAAAAAGAAAGAAAGAAACAGAGCCTGGTGCATCCAAAGGAAGCCTGAGAGGAGGGCATGACTTCTTTCCCATTGATGGCCTCTGGCTGGGAGGAGAGGATGGGAGGGACCCCATCTTCTGGGGACTGAACTTCCTCTCCCACCCTGTTTTCGGCAGGGGGCAGTAACAGCCATGACTAAAGCCTTGGCCCTGGATGAGAGTCAATATGGTGTCCGAATCAACTGGTGAGCAGTTCCAAGTAGACTAAGGGAGCCTCCTGGGGAAAGTGGGAAGACTGGGAGTGAATCCAAGAGGCAGTATTTGGGACAGACTTCTCTGATCCCCTCTCTCCCTTCCCCCAGTATCTCCCCAGGAAACATCTGGACCCCACTGTGGGAGGAGCTGGCAGCCTTAACACCAGACCCCAAGGCCACAGTCCGAGAGGGCATGTTGGCCCAGGTAAGAGGGGAGGCCAAGGGCCGGCCCGTGGCTCAGTCGGGAGAGTGTGGTGCTGATAACACCAAGGCCACGGGTTCAGATCCCATATAGGGATGGCCGGTTTGCTCACTTGGGAGAGCGTGGTGCTGACAACACCAAGCCAAGGGTTAAGATCCCCTTACCGGTCATCTTTAAAAAAAAAAAAAAAAAAGTAAATAAATAAATAAAGAGTGGAGGCTGGATTCAGGTGGTATGGAGGTGGTTTGGGCAGTAAGGCGCTCAAGTGAGGGCTCCTCTTGACCTCCTATTCCCCCGCTTCTCTTCCCAGCCTCTGGGCCGCATGGGCCAGCCAGCTGAAGTGGGGGCTGCTGCTGTGTTCCTGGCCTCCGAAGCCAACTTCTGCACAGGAATTGAGCTGTTTGTGACTGGGGGCGCAGAGCTGGGGTACGGGTGCAAGGCCAGTGTGCACACCCCTACAGATGCCCCCACTATCCCTTCCTGATTTCCCACATTTCCATTTGGGCCTCCCTGCCTAGGACTCTCCCACCCCAAACTGCAGCCTCTACCATCTGCCTCCCACATGGAGCCCTTAGACTACACCCACTTAGAAATGTGCCCGTGTACCCTGCAGATTCCCATAAAAGCAATTGGCAGCGAAAAAGAGGATACTGTTACATTTATTTCCTGCCCTTTATGTAAGTCCAGCCACACCAGCATTCTCCCCCCCTCCACCCCCCAAAGTTCATGTGTTACCACAATTCTGAGGGACTACAGCTCCCAGAGGCCTTGCAGCAGATGCTTGATGTCGCTAGGGCCTGTGTCACCAGGGGCTCCTGGAAATGGTAGAGCAGTAGGTTTCATCAGTGGGCTAATTAGAAGGCCCTCAGGAGAGAGTAAGTTAAGGGCTAATTAGGAGATAATAGAGGAGGAGAAGAAAAGAGCCCTCTTTATTTTTGGACCTTAGGGGAAAGGAGTTTTGACCTCTGCTTGTGGAGTAAGGTGGCTGGCACTTACAGGCCTGAGGAAAGAAGCGGGGCTGGGTGGGGGTGTTTGAGACATTTGTGTTACCGGGAGAAGGGGCTGCACCAGGACTTCCGGGTGTGGGGGAGGAGAACGCCGGAGGCGCGACTCCGGGTCTGCGGACGAGCAGGCCGGGAAGCATTTCCCCAGGTGGGGCGCGGGGCACAGTCGCGGTTACGTCCCGCAGGTGACGGGGGTGGAGCCGCGAAGCGGCTGCGGATTGGTCGCGGCGGGGGTGTGTGCGGCAATCGCTGATTGGCTGAGGCGGGGGCCGGAACGGTGTGGGGGGGCCGCCCCCACCGTCCAGGGCTAGGTGGGGGCGGAGGAGGACGGGGGAGGAGAAAAGCAGGGCAGGAGCCTGCGGGGAAGGGCTCGCGATGTGGCTGCTCGGGCCTGTAGCAGTTAGGGGTGGGGGGACAGTGACCCGAGGGTGGGATTTGGAGGCTTTGGGGGGTTAGGATTTAGGGACATTGTCCCAGGGTAGAATTATGAAGGCACAATGGCTGAGGATTTTGAGGACACAGCAGGGACAAAGTTTCGATGTCACAGTAGCCCGGATGCAGCAGTTTGGGGGACCTCTGACCAGGGAAGGTTTGGGGAGCACAGTGACCGAGGAGCACGACATAGGGCGCAGTGCCGCAGGTTTGAATTGCTAGGGGTCACAGGGACCCTGAAGGGCTGTAATTGGTCCTGAAGTTGGGGAGACACTCGTGAAAGGGGTGTGACCAGGAAATCCTGCTCTCGGGGCTGTTTTTGAGGTTCACTGATGAGTGGGGGGTTGAAATTTTTTCGGGCTTCGCTGACGAAAGGGACTGGAAACAAACGTGGTGAACCGTGTTTTTATCTCCTAAAGAGTTACAAAGAACACACATCTCGTTGGTAAGAAAAACGATACTCAAACAGGGAAGTGTCCGGACTGAAGAGTGAAGCTACCCCTTCATCCCCACCTACCGCCACCCTCTGCAGAGGCCTTTTCCCAAAACCCCATTCCCTTCCCTGTGCATTCACATGGTCTGTGAGCCCCGCGGACATTTAGAGTGGGCTTTTCCTCTTCACAAAGGGATCGTGATGAACAGCTTTCGGGTCCCCGCCTTTGCTCCGTCTTGCCTCGGGCTGCTCCTCCTCGCCGGCGCTCCGCGGCAGTCCCCGTGTCCGTGCACTTTTGGAAACCGCCGCGTGCGCTCGCCTGCAGG